TTGTATGGACTCCAAGAACCTATTATTTTGTATCTCAAAAGCATACAGTTCATTTCCTGCTGTCCCCTCATTCTCCACTGGTCTTAAAAGCAATGTGGGTACCACCTTGTGCTGTCACTCACGCAGAAGGAAGTGCAGACAAAGAGAGTCACCGAGGTTAATAACTGATTCTGGCGATGAGACCCAGAACTCTGACATGTCAAGCAAGCGCTGTGGCAATGTTATCCTATTCACTCCATGCTGTCTCTCTGTGACATAAATGTTGCTTCCCTCTCCATCTGCAGCTAGGAAAAGTGAAGTTTCAGCTTCACTAGTAGAGAAAAGTGACAGTGTGGTGACGTGGGAGCCAAACTTGTTCTGAATTCTGCTCTCGTTTCTGTCTTGCACTTTGTATTGGTTACTTTTCTACTGCTGTGATAACCACCCATGACCAAGGCAACTTATGAAAGAGAGGGTTTAATTTGGTTTATAGTTCCAAAGGGTAAGAGTCCATGATGGCTGAGTTAATGCAGCAACTGAAACCTCGTATCTCCATCCACAAGCATGAGGCAGAGAGAGCAGTGGGGATGGCAGGAGGACTGTGAAAAAGCCCACCCCCAGTGACACACCTCCTCCAACAAGGCCACACCCCCTAATCCTTCCCAAACAGTTCCACTGAGCACCAAGTATTCAAACATATGAGCCTAGGGCACCCATTCTCACTTAAACCACCACACACTTCACTTCACTGGCAAACATTCAAATTTTTGCTTTTAAATCCCCTTTGAACTCTCAAATTTAAAGAAATGTCCACATCTTTGGGGCTGCATTTTTCAAATATTGATGCATTTCATGGAACTTGATAATTAAACAGTGTGTGTGTGTGTGTGTGTGTGTGTGTGTGTGTGTGTAGTGTGTATGTGTGCAAATACACAGTTTAATTATCTATATCTATGTATATATATATGTTTACATGGGAAAAGTAAAAGGTATGAAAATCCACCTATCAGTTATCAGTTCAGGTCAGATGATACTACCAAATTAGTTAAGACAAATAAAAAGCTTTTGATTTTCAGAGCTCTTTGGATTTTTTAATTGTGGGAACATGATCCATGTAAGAGTTTCAGTAAAATGATCAACAGTTACATCAACTATGACATTCTATTAGCAGTAGTTCAAAATTCACAGAACTGACGTGTAGCATGGCAAGCTCCTTGCAGGAGAAGGCCTGATAACGTCACCTGCAGTGACCCTCATAAACAAACATTGATGAGGACTGTACAAAGTTTGGGGTTTGGAGATATAAACAGGCACTGAGGGGGAAATGGTATAAAGACTTGTTAAATTGTTCTAGGAAAAGTTGGTTAGTCATAATGGTCAAGTCTAACAAAGAGACACATGAAGTGCATGACAGCTATCAACCAGGTATCAACACTCCTGGGCTTTTATCTCCTCCCTCAAATTGCTAGTGACGCTGGAAAGCTATCACATTAAGAAACCTAAATGCCCACTTTGTGGGGCTGGAGAGCTGGCTCAGCAGTTAAGAGCACTCGTTGCTCCTTGCACCCCCCCCCCCCCACATACACACAGGGTTTCTCTCTGTAGCCCTGGCTGTCCTGGAACTCACTCTGTAGACCAGGCTGGCCTTCAGCTCATAGAGATCCACCTGCCTCTGCCTCCCAAGTGCTGGGATTAAAGGCGTGTGCCGCCGCCACCACCACCTAGCTATACTTGTTGCCCTTGAGGAGGGCCCATGTTCGAGACTCAGTACTCACGTGGCTGCTCACCACCACCTCTCTCTGGGGAATCTGACACTCCCTTCTGGCCTCCTCAGGTACACATGGCATACACATGGTACACAGACTGTGTCAAAGCCCTCATCCATGCAGTCAAAACACTCATACACATAAAAGAAAATCAATGAAACAAAAAAAATCAAGCCTGCTTTATAAGAGGGTCCAGGATGATAAGAGAAAAGCCACTAAAATAATGACAGAGCAGATGTGTCACGACTCTCAAATGAAGAATGAATTTAAAATGGAGTTTAGAAAGTCCAGACTGTGTGGTAGATTTGGTGTTTTGAGGTAGGGCTAGTCCTCTGTAGTCGTGGTATGTATTAGTAATTTAATTTCCCCCAAGAAGATACCCTACTTTAGAAAATAGATACACAACAGTTAGGTTCTTGAATCCTTACATTTACAGATGAAGTTTATAAACTTCATATTTAACCATTAAAAAAGTTTCTTGAATAATGAAAGCTAATATGTCTTGAAGACAGGGAAAGAAAGGCACGGATGCGTCAGTCTTCCCTGCACCTTACTTCTGAGCAACTGGTCATGAACTTGATGATCGTTCGATCATCTCAGGAAAGCGAGCCTGTGAGCTGGAAAGTGGATAATCATCAGTAAAAGTGATGGCGATTTGGGGGGACTTTGTTCTGGACAGAAGTGCTAAGAAACCAGAGAAAGGTTAACCTCTACTGAAGCCCAGAGGGAGGAGAGGGGTACAGGAAGGGGACATCATGACACTACCATCAGGGAGCTGGAAATAGACAGCAGAGCAGGAGTGAGGGTGACTGCAGAGGGGATGGTGTCTTTCTAAGTCCAGTCCACACTCCACAGGTGGTCTGCAGCTAAAAGGATGCCACATGCTTTACACACAGGCTTCAAATGTCAGACAGTGTTGGCATGCTCGTGGAGCCTTCCATGTCAAAAAATGTTCCTAACGTGAGGCAGAGAGGATACACTCATGGATATGCTTTGGCTAACTGCAACATCTTCAGAATTCTTCAAATTTTATGATTATAGATGGGGATTTTGAAACCAGGACAAGGATTATGTTAAATGACCAGCATGCTGTTCTGTGATTCCTTAGCTCACTGACTGAATCTGTGTTTAAAAACATATGGCCTATGGTGGTTGTCTGGAAGGATCCTAGGTGACAGGAAATCTGCGTCAGGCTGGGCGTAGACAGTGCGTGCTGTTGTGTGGGGATGGGCGTGGGGGGTTTCCTTAGAAACAAGTGAGACGGGATCTGCTCTGATTCCAAGTGAATGAACGTTGATAGCAGTCTTTTCTGTTGCTGTCACCAAGAGAAACGTGGAGAAAGAGAGAAAGGAACTGATCCCCTTCAGAAGCATGCTTGAAAGAAGTCCACGGGAGCTGGGGACACAGCTCAACGGTAGTGTAGCTGAGTACTTAAGTCCCGGAGTCAGGAAAAAGAGCCCGCCTTCCGTGGGTAATAGGAAAACACAGACAGACAGCGCAAAGCATGGGACACGTAGACAGCAGAGCAATGTCAAAAGGAACGGCTCTCCCTGAAACGTCTGATGGAGAAAGAGTGTGGCAGAAAATCTGAGTGAGTCGCTTCACACCAAGTTGTTGACAGGTGAAAGGTCCCAAGCCTTTCCATTGACAATAAGGCAACGCCATACCACCACGCTGGCTTTGGGTTTCCATGAGCGGTTTCCGTTGTTCGTTTTAGTGGCTACCAGCTGGATCCTTAGGTTCGGGTGTTGCTTGGAGAAGGCGTGGCATTGCTTACCAAGAGGATAGGAGAGGGAAGTAGAAATGGACCATCTCCTCTCTTCTGACAAGTACAAACTAAAAGCCTCAAGGAATGTTGAACGGGGTCACTAACTGCAGTGGGAGTTCATTTCTATTTATGCAAAAGAAGTGAGGATGAGGAGCAGTCAGTCAGCACTGGTCATTTAAGGGACATTCTTTCAGAATCTGTTCTTTATGTTGTTGGAGCCCTCCAGAGCTCTCTTCTAAGAACCAGGCTTGGAGGCGCATGCAGTGGGAACAGGAAATGAGTAGGTTTCCTTTCTCTCTCTCTCTCTCTCCTGTGTTTGTTTAATCTTGAATCATCTGGTCTAGTTGGGTCAATGGTCTTGAACTTGCTAAGATGACGGCATCGGTCTTTGCTGGAGGGTTTTGGATCAGGTCTCGGGGTTAGCGTGCATATTTCATTTGGCTTTCTTGCAAATGTAGCAGACTATTGTCTGAAGTACCGTTCTCTCTTTCACACATGGAAAATTACTAAACCAGGAGGTTCCTGAGCACCAACTATCCAGGGACAACTCTCTGTGTCTGCTTAGAAGAATTCTTAATAATTTCTCTATAAAGTCGTGTATGGTTAGAACTGGAAAAAAAATCTGCACTCAGCACTCAGTTTGATCTGTAAATTAGGTCGTAGAGCCATAAAACAATACTCAAAGAACTGACATAGTTTACTCACTCTGTCTTGGGAAAAGTTTGGGCCGTCATATTTTAGGTTCCGGGAGTAAAATAGAAAGAAACATGGCGAGGGCCATTTAGAAAAGCAGAGTGGAATATCACCAAGGGAGAATGTGTAATCAAAAGCACCTTAGATGCAAAAACTAAACTGAATTTGTTTCCTCTCAGGGAACTGCATGCACAAGACAAATCAATGGTACAGGGAAAGGTAAACAGATACACAGATCCATAGATACCACAAAGAATACAAGTTGTCTTGTTTTTTGTTTTTTAGTCTTTTTAAATCATTTATTTACTTTTATTTTATGTGCATTAGTGTTTTGACTGCAGATTTATCTGTATGAGGATGTCAGATCTCCTGGAACTGGAGTCGTAGACAGTTGTGAGTTGCCATGTGGGTGCTGAGAATTGAACCCAGGTCCTCTGGAAGAGCAGTCAGTGCTCTTAACCGCTGAGCCATCTCTCCAGCCCCAGACAATGCAAATTTTAAGTATAAGAAAGTGATCGTATCTTTTATTGTCTGGGGCCTTGTTCCTTAGTCTGTTTCTAATTACTAATGGAGCACAGTTATATCTTAATGACATTTCACACAAGTCTTGGAGCAGCAATGTGATTTGTCCAAGGCTACACAGAGCTGCTGGGGACGAGCCTACTACAGAGCAGGCTTGGGATTCAAACGAGGTGCTCTGATCCCATTCAGTGATATCACGTTTCACTTTGTATGCTCGTGTGTTTTATCCAATGAAGACTCATCTCCCTGAACGTTTGTGTTTTGTTTACTAGCTCACTATTTATGTCCAGCCAGAGCAAAAGGCAACAGCGGAGTATGCTGCAAACATAACTAAAATTGCATTTGATTATTTTGAAGAATACTTTGCCATGGAATATTCTCTTCCTAAACTGGGTGAGAAAATGCTTCTTTTTTCCCTTAATTTCAAGTTGTCTTTGCTTGTGTTTGTTTGTTTTACCTAAGATAACCTAGTGTGTCTAATTATATTACCATTAATTACTGATCATTCCTGAGTCTTTTCAGTATGTGCCTGTACTACATGTCTGGTGTTTACCACAAGCTCAAAGGTCCATTCTAGGTCCTCCAAAAATAATAGGCATTCTCTACTCTCATATGATGACGATACAGTCTTTGATCTGCAAATTGAGATGAAAGTGTGTACACAAAACTGCAGAGCTCGCTCACAGTGAGCCCAAACAGCCTCCTACACCATTTGATTTAAAAACCAGTACTCCTTCAGTGGTTTACATGCATGGCCCTTCTGAGGAAGCTGGAAAATAATAGGGTCAGTGATGTTGCTGTAAGAGGCCCATGTGCTTCCAATCTGCCCTTTTATTGTGCAAGATCCTCTGGCCCTGGAAATGAAACACTAAAACTTCTCCCAGAGTTTTCTTTTCTCTAATGTGAAGATAAGCATGTTTTCTGTGAAAAATGGAAGGACTGGAGTACAAATGATGCTGCCTCCATCAATAGCAGAGGCACTTTATTAACAAGCCTGAGTGGTTGGTTTGAGTAAAGCTGTAAGACCCTTGAAGAAGCTTGTAAGGAAGGTGCTACGAGAACCAACCAAGAACCCACTTTCCCATCCCGGTCCTACTGCCCTTTTTTTTTTTTTTTTTATAAGATTTGTTTATTTATTATGTATACAGCGTTCTGCCTGCACGTATGCCTGCAGCCAGAAGAGGGCACCAGATCTCATTATAGGTGGTTGTGAGCCGTGTGGTTGCCAGGAATTGAGCTCAGGTCCTCTGGAAGAGCAGTCAGTGCTCTTAACCTCTGAGTCATCCCTCCAGCCCCTGTCCTACTGCCTTAATAAATGCCTTGGAAGGCAAAAGGCTCTGTGGCTCTGCGTGTGCACACACCTCATTTTCTCTTCACTGGCCTTTTGTATCACTTAGCAATTATTAGAGGAGACAGAAAGACAAGTAACTTTTTTACCAGAGTCGGAAGGGAAATTGTGAAGGAATGGAGAGCCCAGATCCACAGAGCTCATCATCTCTGCCTCACCTGTAGCCAGGAAGGCCCGAGATGCAGAACCCACACCAGCTTCTTCCTTTCTCCTCCTCTTCTCTTCCCTTGCCAAACCTTTCCCTTTGCATCTTCCACACTTTCAGAATTAGCTGTATAATAGAGTCTTTGGAAATGGTGTCCTCATTTACATCAAAAGGTAATTGAATTGATGTTAATTAATTATAATGTCTGTATTCACTAGAGAAGAGCTTGCTTTCATTTGCTCAAGGATTTGTGCAAATTATACTTTCCAGCATTGTGAACGATGTTGCGTGTGGGGGAAATACTTTCTCAGTCTTTAGTGATCTTCTTATGCCATAATGACAGCGTGGCAAGAAAACCACTGCTGTTAACTTGATTTCTACTGAAGATATATACTTCTCATGCTTTTCTAAAAATCTTTAGGCAATTTTATTTCAACTAGAAAAGCCCCTCTCTCACGTGTTAGAAAGAAATTTAACTTATTCACATTTGCCTCATTTAATTTATAGTAGTAATAAAAATTACATTTGGGTTATAGTTCATTAGCTAGGGAAGCTGTATTTCCCACTAATCAACATTTTTCTATTTGTAGATTTAATATAGAAGTGCACAACACTGAGTATTCTTATTGGATGTTACGTCTAAAATCCAGAGAAAACAGAGACAGAAATTCCTGTGGCATACAACATTTTAGAGCTGGAGGAAAATTTAGAGAGAAATCAGTCGATTCCACGTCCCTTTAACTTCTTTGATATATAAAAGAGGATGGCAAGGGGAAGGGACATTCAAATTGTACAGCATCGGAGGTAGTGGGGTTTCTAAGTCTCTGACCTCGACGTGCGAGCGAGCTGTTTCTGTGAACTCCCAAGCTCTGTCTTTCTTAGTCCTCATTTACAGACTTCATTCTCTTTCTCCTAACAGTGTACCTCCCAAACAGATGCTCTTTATAACCAAGGTGATAAATGAGGCATGAGGACAGCTAATAAAAGTGAAGTACTGTGCAGAGAAGAAAAGACATAAAATTATACAGGCTTTGGGGGGAAAAAACAGTCACGTAATGATTAAGCAAAAAAGGGGGGTGGGGATACACCCTGAGTCTGGAGACTACAGGAACTGCTCCGTGGGAATGTTGAATGTATTAGGACCAAAATGTTTGCACAAATGATTCCTGTTCCTCACTCTGAGAAATTATTTTTAGTCTTAGAAAAGTCATCCAAAGAACTTAATTTGGTAAGAAATGCTATGAACAAATGGAAAGAATTCGTTTCTCACTGGACTGTCTTTTTCCATAGATAAAATCGCTATCCCCGATTTTGGCACCGGTGCCATGGAAAACTGGGGACTCATCACTTACCGAGAAACAAACCTGCTTTATGACCCCCAGGAATCAGCCTCATCCAACCAACAAAGAGTGGCCACTGTGATTGCCCATGAACTTGTACACCAGGTAGAGGAGCCAGAAGCAAATCTGCTTGCTTTTTAAAACTGGCCTGTTTCCATAGCAGTGATACAAAGTGTGGATGAATAAAGAAGGAAAAAGAGACACCTCAAAAAACACTGCATGACAACCACTCTTAGTGTTAACCGACATTTATCTGTACAGAAACTTTCCAGTGTTTTCCAACCTGTGGGTTGCGAGCCTTGATTGTGTGTGTGTTGACGGGGTGTCAAGCGACCCTTTCATAGGGGTCGCATAAGACAATCAGAAAACACAAATATTTACAATAGAATTCAAAATAGTAGCAAAATTACAATTATGAAATAGCAATGAAAACAATTTTAAGGTTGGGGATCACCACAACACGAGGAACTGTATTAAAGGGTTGTAGCATCAGGAAGGTTGCGAACCACTGCTTTAGACTGTTTTGTCTTTAATAAGCACACGAGACCTTCCTATAACATTATATATTCCTTAAAATGTGGAAACAAACTGGATAATTTAACATTCTCGAATCAAGATAAAGTGCAAAATATATGTTAGGTTCAGTGCAGGCCACTTCTACATCAGCTATGCATCTCTCTACCACAAGGATAAACATCTAACTACTTCCTCCTGGCTTATTATTTCAGTGGTTTGGAAATACTGTGACCATGGACTGGTGGGATGACTTGTGGCTAAATGAAGGATTTGCTTCTTTCTTCGAGTTCTTGGGGGTAAATCATGCAGAAGCAGACTGGGAAATGGTGAGTCATAAACACATACACTCTGAATCGATTTTCTTAGTGGAGACTGGACTGAATGAAGCCTTTGACCATGGTCTAGGGTCAGGGTCAAGTACAATGGAGGTCTTGGACATCTATTGAGAGGACAGTGGTGCTAGTGACTTCCCCTGAGCTTTTCTTTGCCAGAAGCCTTTACACGGTCATCGAGGCGTTAGGAGTTGTAGACAAACACGTGTTGGGAAGGGAGGGGTGTGGGGGAAGGAAGTGCAGAACATGCTGACCTTGCATTCAGGGAAGTACAGTGCTACCCTCAGAAGCCTTCTGAATTGATAAGCTACTTGACTCAAGCAGGTTACTGGAATGTGGTAAAGAGATGAAGGATGTGCTGAACAGTCAGATACCAGATTCACAGCAGGACACATGGCCATCTGTGAACAAGGTGACTTCTCTGAGTCAGGTCTCCATTTAACATCCAAATGAGAGCGTTGTTATGTATCAAGGAAGCTTCCAAGTTCTGAAACTGCGTGCATAGTGAACATTCACACAGTGTGCCCTCGAGGGGCACTGGAATAAACATTTCCAGAAATGCTACAGAGTTGTCTTTAGGAAAGTTAGGCTTTCTTGCTTGTCTTTAGATCATGTGAATATTCTTCGGTGACTGTATATACGCATGTATGTACACACTGTAGGTGTGTCTGCCTAGCTCTGGGTAGAGGTAGATAGCTGTGAAGTAGGTAGAACACTGCCCTCTACTGGAACAACTGTTTTTGACATTGAGTAACTTATTTACCTTGTCTGTATCCTTTTTAAAGAGGTGAACATAGTAAGAACCACCTCATTGGGTTGTTGTAAAGGTGACCAATAAAGTGTATTCAAAAGGGCTTAGCCTTCTACGTGAATCTGATAAATAATAAACAAGGTTGCTTAACTTGGAGTTATTTTTCTCTTTTTCTGACCCCTAAACTTTAATGTCTCCTAAGTATCATAGAAAGTCTACTAAAGGCAAATTTAAAAATCAAAGAAAACACCATCCAGCAGAAAGTTTAACTTCCTTGGGGCTCAGAAGTCCATAAATGTTTTTCTTTTTTATCTTTAAAAAGTATTTTTTTTTCTACCCAATTTCTCCCCTCCAGCTCCTCCTCTACCCCCGGCTCCCACTTCCCTTTCACAATTTTACGTCTTTTAAAAAGCAAAACAAAACAAAACTAGGTTAAACAAAACAGCACTTGGGTGTAGGACCAGCTACTGGAACTTGAGCAGCTTTTCGTAGCCACATTCCTGAAGAAAACAGACTCATCCACTCCACTGCAGCCATCAGTTGCCAATAGCTCCTCAGCTAGGGGCGGGGCATCATAAGCCCCTCCCCCATCCATGCTGGGATTTTGGTTGGCTTGACCTTATGCATGTAGCCACAGCTGCTGATGTAGATTAGATTGTTTAAAGACACAATTGTTGCAAATCAGCTTTTCTATTTTTCAAAGTAGGTTAGGGATTGTGCTTTAGGCATTTCTGGTCTGGAGAATTTCTTGGTCCAGTTTCAAGTGCACAGCCGTACCAGAATGCATAGACATTGCGGGATCTGTCCCACAGAAGTCAAAGGAGCTACAGCTAGAAGACCAGAAATCAATGTGGAGCGGTTGCTGTAACGGGATTCGTTTGAAGACCTGGAGACCACGTTACATAATTGGAGTCGTTTCCATTTCCGTCCCTGCAATTTTGATGACGTGCGACGGTATAAAATAGAAAGCGGTCCGAAGGAATCGCGGCCTACCTCTGCTTTCTGTCCTTTCAGCTCGATCAGATGCTGCTTGAAGACGTGTTACCTGTGCAAGAAGAGGACTCCTTGATGTCTTCACACCCAGTGGTTGTCACGGTGTCAACGCCCGCTGAAATAACTTCGGTGTTTGATGGAATATCATACAGCAAGGTAGGAGGAGGTGCACCGCCTTGCTTTGGAATGTCTTCCTATTTAGTACACGTCCAACAGAGTGTTTTTAAGAAACGGTTAGATTCTGCCGTGAGCTCTGGAAAAGAAAGAACACAGTCAGGGCTGAATATTAAATAGTTGATATTTTGCAGGCGAAACAATCGATGCCACAGGATTTTAGAACTAATTTCCGCCCCCCCCACCCCGCACCCTGCCAACTCAGTTTTGTTTAAAGCAACTTCATTCTGATAACTAAGCAGTTATATCTTAAACATCCAATTTATTTTTTTCTTTAATTTTAAAGTTTATTCTGTGATGGGGGGGGGGTGTCACATAGACAAGTGTGGAGACCAGGGCAGCGTCTGTCTCTCCTTTTATCATGTAGCTGTGGAGGATTGAACTCAGGTTGTTGGGCTTGGCAGCAAGCACCTTTCCCCACTAAACCATCCCACCAGCCCTCCCTTCCCCTCCTCTCCCCTCCCTTCCCCTCCCCTCCCCTCCCCTCCCCTTCCCTCCCTTCTCTTCCTTAACTTTTCTGAAAGATAGTATGTCTTACTTTTCTGCTGTGTGGTCCATGAGGAAATCCATCTAGATGGGCACTTTTAATAGGAAAACACTTTAATGTTCAGAACAAATATTCAAATGCAGCTTAGTTGAAGGGAAAACCTTTATCCATTGCGCGCGCGCGCGCGTGTGTGTGTGTGTGTGTGTGTGTGTGTGTGTGTGTGTGTGTGTGTGTTTGTCTGTGGAATGTGAGTTAAAGATAATTGTATTTGTGTATGTGGTAGACAAGGCATTTTTTTAGCCACTAAAACTATGAGATATTACTGAGAGTGTGCAGCCCAAGCTTTCTGCGACATTCTCTCTCACAATACCTCCTGCAATATCTCCTCTACACATATTCCATACTTGGAGTAATATAATTTAAATCTCTATTGGGTAACTTTCTATTTTAGTTCCTCATGGATTGGCATTATATTCATTTACTCAAAAGCTACTGTTGTCTTGGATGAACTCTGACATATTTGTGTTTATTTATAATTATTAAATGAATATTTATCAAAATCAACTTAAGTGAAAAACAGTTATTATTTGATGTTGGTGCCATAATTTTCAGCTTTTCCTCTCATATTTCCATGGCATCTTTTCAGGCTTCTTTTAGATGATTGATTATCTGTCGAGGTAACTCACACAGGAAGACTCAGACTCAATTCTCTAAGTCCTGGATACTCCAGAGGCTTGAGATAGTGTCAGAAATAAATATGTTTCTAAGCCTTAGTCTTACCGTGTCCAAATGCAATTTAAAATACTTGGAAAATTGTAGTAATAACTACTAAGTTAAGTGGGAAGGTAATATTTCTCATGTACATTAGTTGAGAACTATTTTAAAAATCTTAGAAGTAGTTTGCCTTCGTATTAACCCATATGGAAGAAACTGGAAGTCAGGGCATTCGTTAAATTCTTGAGAGCTGTGAAACCAAATGAGACAAAACCACTTTTGAGGAGAAAGGTTTTGTGGCTACGTTCTATATCTATCCATACTAAAGTATTTAATAATCTACTTTCACTCTCTGCTTCCTCATGTTAAATATACTTATTGTCTCATATGTGGAGGTATAAATAGTTTGCCATAATTTTACTTTGAAATTCGTGCTTCATCTAAGAATGTGCTGTGGGGACCATTTTTTTTTCTTCCATTAACAAAGCGCCACCTGCCGGCTGACTTGGGGAAGTGCAACAACCACTTGGGCCTTGAGTCCCTGTTGTGAAGGCAATTTGAGCCATTTCTCTTTACCTCTTGGTTGCTAGGAGGCACACCTGTGGAAGGGTGCCAAGTGGTGACTTGCTTGTTTGTTTGTTTGCCCTAAATCATAATACTATAGCTGTGTAATTCATCAGAACGGTCTTCAAGAAACACTCAAATATAATCATGGAATGTTGCGATGGTGCTGATCACTGTTCCTTGTATGGTTTCAGGTATTTAACTGGTCTCTTTTTCTCATCCTAGGGAGCTTCTATTCTGAGAATGCTCCAAGACTGGATCACACCAGCTAAATTTCAAGAAGGATGTCAGGTACGATTTCTTAGGGGTAGCAAAAGTAAATGATACCGATACACGGCTGACAGTTGCGTTTAATTCAGGCTAATTGCTCTCTTGCTTTCCCTGCACGTGGACAGATAAGTCAGAGCTAACAGGTGACTTTACATCAAGTTAGAGCTCTGTAATGATCAATGACCAGAAACGTCATGGAGAACTTCAAGCCATACTTGGGGATACTCGATACTCTTTACACGTGTGATATGCAGGTGGGGCTGCCATGGAAAGACAGCATAGACCAGATGGAACAGACCAACAGAAATGTATTTTCCCACAACATGGGAGGTGGTGAAGTCCAGGGTCACGGTGCTGCCATTTCAGTTGCTGGGGAGGGTCTTTGGTTCTGTAGACAGCCCCCTGTGTCCTCGTGTGGCACAGGGAACAAGCATTCCTGCATCTTCTGTAAGAGCATGAATCTCACCATGAGGTCACATCATCGTTACTGCATACCAACCAGAATGCCCTCCAGATGCTCTGAGGCCATCAAGTATGAATATGAGAGGAACATAATTCACTTCATAGAAGCATGACATGGATGTTTAAATCTGTCTCGATTAGTCTTCCCATAAAGAAAGCATAAGGCCTTTTCCTTATTCATTTCCAAATTATTGATTTGGAAAATTATTAATATGAATAATCATTCTCACAAAGTCAGCAAATAAGGAGAACTTGCTCCCTTTGGGAAGATAAATAAGAATTCATTTTCTGATGTTCTGTACACATCCTGTGTTAGCATGTCACTCCACTGGACATTCCAGTTCATCTTTGTTCTTCCAGAAGGCCCCTATGCCAATTATCTCAGGGTTGGTCTCTCCTGATCTTTGTTAAAGCCACTACAGTGTGTCCTTATAGCTGTCCCATCTTCCGGCTGGGCCCATTTCAACCTAGAAATGGACTCACATCCCAACTGCTCCCCTTCCCCCTCCAGCCTCCAGTTGGGCTAGCCCAGGACCTTGATACAGTTGTTTCTAGTGGATTCCAGCCCGTATAGCACAAGAGAGAAAAATTTCACACTGGCCATCAGTTCTCTGGTGTGTGTTTCCCAGGACCATGCCACCACAGGACAAGGTCAACACTGCCCCTACAGCTCTCACTGTTGCTATGTTTTTGTAGGTGGCATTTATCTATCTCTATGATGCCCTAAAAGGAAGTGATCCCTTGGGGGGGGCAGAAGTAAAATGCCTATGTGCCTACTAAAACAAGAGAAGAGTAGAACTTAGGAAGTATTTAGGGTGCACATTGGGATATTTTGCTCATCAATGAAATGTCCTGTGAGGATATGTGTCCCAGGGGGAGGGACTATGTGTTTGTTTAACTTCCCCTGAGCTTCAGACTCAGTGCTCACCACATCTCTGTTGTGAGCATCTTCATGGAGGCCCCGTCTCCTGCGGCCTCAGGTACATCTATAGAATTCTTCACATATTAGGTGATCCGGCAGGTGTTTGTTGACTGAATATCTATAATGTACAGTTTGTTGAGTGAATATCTATAATGTATAGCATTGAACTAGAAAATTTAAAAAGCCAGGCATGGTGGGGGTCTGCCTTTAATTCCAGCGTTTGGGAGACAAAGGCAGGTGTATCTGTGAGTTCAGTGCCAGTCTGATCTACATAATGAGTTCTAGGCTAGCAAGGGCTATTAGCAAAAAATAATCTTTTTTAAAAGACAGAAAAAAGAAAACATGCTTCCAAAGACTGTTGCGGTTCTATTTGCATAGTTTTTATTTTAAATTGCTACTTAAAATAACACATTCTTGGTACTTTAAATTAAATGGGCCTTCATATCAAGTTTTATAGAGAACTATCAAAAGAAGTCCTTAAAAATAAACAGCTGAGCTAATCAATAAATGCTCATTCCTCTTTTTTTTTCCATGTGGAGAGTTTACTATAATAGAGAGATGAAGAGAAAGATAGGAGAGAGAGAGAGAGAGAGAGAGAGAGAGAGAGAGAGAGAGAGAGAGAGAGAGAGAAGAGAGAGGTTGAGGGTGCACACCTCGTGGGAGGAAAAGTGGAAGAGGGAGCAAATGTTCACTCCTCTTCGTCTGACGTGTTGTCACTAATTTTAAAAGTCCCACCTGAGACTAATACTTCCCAAGTTATAACAGTCTCTAATCATGATGATCCTAAAAATTCAACCCGGATCAGTGGATGGATGATAGGCAATACGTTTCATATCATTATAGTGCTGTGGAGTGAATTTGTAGGAAAAACAAAAAACAAAAACCACATCAAACACCAAACCCAAAGTGCTGTTTTCAGATATCAGTGAAGCTCTCAGATTATCCAGGACATTGAACTTCTCACCAGAATCCCTCTTGAACTGCTGACATCACGCTGTGGCTGTTGTCCTAAAGTCCCATGGGTTGGGAAACTGGAGTTTGAGAACTTTCTTTTACAAATTCTAGCTTTCTGCCCAGACTGGTTGTCCATTAGAAAAAGTGGCCAGTGCAGAATCTAAGTAGATCAGTCCTCCCTCTCTCTCTCTCTCTCTCTCTCTCTCTCTCTCTCTCTCTCTCTCTCTCTCTTTTATTCTGTGCTTATCCCACCAAGTACAACATCAATGGCAAAATGATGCTGATGCTGTCATTCACTGAAACACCCTTAGGCTGCAATTATGCATTTTTTTTTTTTTTTTTTTTTTTTTTTTTTTTTTTTTTGGTTTTTCGAGACAGGGTTTCTCTGTGTAGCTTTGCGCCTTTTCCTGGAACTCACTTGGTAGCCCAGGCTGGCTTCGAACTCATAGAGATCCGCCTGGCTCTGCCTCCCGAGTGCTGGGATTAAAGGCGTGCACCACCACCGCCCGGCGCAATTATGCATTTTAAAACTACAGTACATGGTGGGGCATTAAACAATACATTGTTATGAGAAATGCACCCATCTTTCTTGTTCTACTGTAATTAATTAGTATCACCCTTGGAAAAGAAGAGTGGCTGAGCTGGGAAGGCCTTTTCCTTCCTACGACACTGACAACACACACCATTCAGTTTTCTTTTGTGCCCACCAGTACCAACACACAAGGGGGCCAAGGCCTGGGTTGTCATGTGATGTAGACTGGAAAGATGATGCGCCCTGTGCTGGGGGAAGAAGAGAGATTCTTAGTACAGAACATTAGAAGCACTGATCTAGACAAAATAAAAGTGGTACCTTTTAGTAGTGCTTATGTAAATTTCAGTTTTAGCTTCTAGTTCATGAGAAACAATAAACTGCAGTGAAGAAGAAAAAAATCATAACAAGCCGACGAATACCCACACATCGATCCAACACTCAGACTCTTGTTTAGGAGTCTCAGACACATCTCTCTTCCTCCAAGGACACAGACATTTGGTCAGGGCCATTTCTTTCACCTCAAAAACAGGAGCATTGTATTAAATAATATTTAAGGTCCTATCCAGTTCCAGGATGGCTTGTCTATTTCTCAGCTCAAGATCCTGTAAGTATAAAGCAAACAAACAAACAAACAAACAAAAAAAAACCCAAAAACATTTAAGCAGGAGGATAGATACAAGATCAAGGCCAGCCTCTACTACACAGGGAAATCTTGTCTCAAAAGTGAACAAGAAACAATAACAAAACACCCACTGAACAAATGAACACCTCCGGGATGATTTTCAGAGGGCACTGTTCTGTTGAAGACCACATGAACCCGTAACTACATTTATAGTTGTTATTATATTAAGTGTCTGAGTCTGGAGTTAAGACCAGAAACAGACACACTTCTGCCTTCCTTCGCCTGCCCTCTGGTGGTAGTGTTGAGAAGTGAATTAACCAAAAGAATGAACGTGGGGGCCTCAACCCTGCTGGAGACGTTGTGGGAGTGAAGTTTATTTTATCTCTAAGTGACTGAAACAAAGAAGAATCCAGAAGAAAATATGACCTAGATATAACACCTCCTGAAACGTTAGAGCAATTTAGATACTAAATGTTAGGTACAAAGGTAAGTGCTGGGAGCACTTGCCAAAGTCTGATTTCTAGGTAAGATGCCCACATGTTAAGTAGCACAGGTCTAGATAGCCATGGGAGGAGAGAGCCAAAACCCTGGCAGAGCTCTGGAAGATTGCTCCCCAGCAATGGCCAATTATGGGATTGGGAAAAGACTGGGGATGTTCTCTGGGTGCATATCCCATATCTCCTTGTGCAGAGGGGTTTTAGAACTGACAAGGGGTCAGCCTTCTATTTAAAAGATTTATGTTTTAAAAGTATTTGAAGAGTAAAGACTTGCTCTCCATAGTGAATAATTTCTCCCACTCACACATAACCATCCTTATCACTATTCAAAAGACTACCTGCATATTTATTTCCTTAGTACAACAAATTCAGCCCACTGTCATTTTTAAAGTTTGAGTACTAAAGATGTGTCCACCTTTTAAATGGCTGAAAAATGGAAAGAATGGTTAATGATATGAAAATCACACAGCACTGAAATATCAGCGTCTGTACATGATGTTGTGCTACGAGAAAGGCACAGCTGCTTCTTGTATGTTTTTTTGTGTCTGTCTCATTTCATGCCATGGGACACAGGATGAACAGTAGAGAGGGTGGTCCAGGTGAGGCTGTGGAGGTACAAGCCAAGGCTGGGATCTAAAACACTCGTCTTTTACAGAAATACTTGCAAAAATTCAAGTTCGGTAATGCAAAAACTTCAGACTTTTGGGAGTCACTGGAAGAGGTAAGAAATGTAATACCCTTAAACATTTCTTTGTCGGACTTAAAAGTGATTTACATTTTAATATCACTAATCTTTAATTTCCCCTTATGTATAAATTAATGGATCTCCATTGTCCCCAACAACAGGCAAGTAATCAACCAGTGAAAGACGTTATGGACACCTGGACTAGCCAGATGGGCTATCCTGTGGTCACTGTGACTGAAAGGCAGAAATTAAATCAGACACGCTTTCTGTTGGACTCCAGAGCTGACCCTTCCCAGCCACCATCAGCACTTGGGTAAGACTTCGGGATGACATACTTAAAAGAATAGTAGAAATTATTCAGCAGAAATACTGGTAATATGCCTAGGTCCTGCTGTCATTGTGTGATCGATATGTGACAATATAAAGGCACAGCCTTTAGGCAACAGAGAGTTCAGAGCCGGCTAAGTGACAGGCTGAGCACACATCTGTATCTCTTCTATGTAGACACCATTGACACAAGAATGGAAGCGGTAAGGAAATAAAGCCGTGATGGTGAGGAGCATGAGTGGGTGGAGCGGTAGGCAGCATGGAATGCCGGGAAAAAGGCTGAAGGAGAAATAGTGGCCCAAAAGGAACAGGGTAAGATGTTACCAGACAATGACAAGGGTCTCCCTGCCCCTAGACAGGCCCTGCACTCACAATGTACATGAAGAGTGTGTGTGTGTGTGTGTGTGTGTTGGGGGGCAATGAGAAATGAAGCTGAAAATAGGTCGAGTGATGCGTACAGACTGTGCCAACAGGACCTGCACGCTCCACTTTGTTCTCCTTCATCACTGTTGCCCTCACTGTAGAGAACTCTCGGGAGTCTGGCAGCGACTGCAGGCAGGAATCCAGATGGCTTGTTCCCCCTGGAATAGACTACGGTAGAGGACAGCCAAGGACTTCCGCAGCGGAGGCTCCAGCGCGAAGCCTTCCTTGTTAGAGCACTTGCAAGGCGGGTGGGCTGGCCTCCCCCAAGACCTGCTCACAGGGGACGCTTGTTTCCCAAACCTCCCTCCCTCCTCTGTAGTGGAGATGGCATCCCAGACCCCGAGAATAATCAGCTTGGGCTTGAGAGATGATTCAGCTAGTAATGGACTTGCCACGTAAGCACGAAGGCCTGAGTTAGAATCCCTCGGCCCCTGTGAGGTCACATGTGCGTCTGTGACCCCAATTCTTCTATGGTAAAATGCAAGGTGGACACTGAAGAATCCCCGAATCCTCAGCTGGTCTGCGTACACTGAAGTAGATAATAGAGAGATCTCGTCGCAGAAAAGGTGGACAGGAAGGATCGGCACTCCAGATTATCCTCTCACCTCCACACAAGTGCCGTGGCATGTGCACACCTACACACAAACAGGTGCATACAGCACACAGGCAGACACAAAACAATGTCAACTCGATTGTCCTTTTAAAATAGGAATAAACAGTGGAGGATCCAAGATACATGAAAAATCTCCAAGCGTCAAAGCTTAAATCCTGTGTGGACAGACAAATGAGAAAGGCCTGACTTTATGGACATAATTTAGGAACCAAAAAACAACAAAACATAGGAAAGAAAAAATCTGAGACATATTCGGGGATTTTAAAAAAGCTATTTTGCTCATCATCTAGGAGAGAACGTCTTAGAAAAAATTGAGAACACAGAAGGAAGACTAAAATTTTCGTTGAAGTAAATTTGGGAGAAGGTCTCCCAAATTATCCAACAGACACAATGAGATGGTAAATGTGAAGGAGGAGACAGATGTGAAAGCCTCCTGCCCAAGGAAGAGGTGACCCTCAAAAAACAAAAAACAAAACAAAACAAAAACAAACAAACAAACAAACAATAAAACCCAGCTAGTGCTGCATGGTCTGTAAGGAAGTGTTAGGAACTGTTCGGGGTGGCAGGAGCGGTATCTCTTTCCAATGTCAGGGATAGTGTTTGTAGCTTGCCCTTGTCACCGTGGGTGTATCTCTTGGAAATGAGCAAACACCATGAATTGTGCTCTAAGAGCTGGTCTCATTTCACAGAACAGCACTGAGGCCAAAATCCACAAGGCGAGAATGGTGGGGGAAACTCTCTCTCAGAGGTCCACTTGGGACCCGCAGAGAAGACTGAAGAAGATTTTTATTTTATTAAATTTTATTGGGAAAGGGAAATAGAAGGACAAGTAATATAAGGGAGCTAACCCACGCCCTCTCATGGACAAATTAGAACATATTGGCTAAATAAATTAGTCAAGTTAAACTGCAGGGTTAAAAGCAGACGCCTTTGCCCGAGGGAGGGATGTGAAGGCCTAGGATTTTCGTCACCAGCTCTTCAAATCTTTGATTAATGATGGATTTATGAACAACTTGCACAAATTAAAGTCCCTGGCCATTGAAGCAGCATTTCACTTAGAAGTTGAATCAAATTCTCTTGTATATGACATGGAAACTTATAAATATAATCTAGTTCATCTAAACACTACTAATTAAAACTTTTATTAATTTCATTCCTAAACCAGACCGTGGTGGCACGCACCTTTAATCTCAGCACTGGGGAGGCAGAGGCAGGCGGATCTCTGAGTTCGAGACCAGCCTGGTCTACAGATTGAGTTTCAGGACAGCCAAAGCTACACAAAGAGACCCTGTTCGAAAAAGCCAAAAGCAATAATTTCAAAGTATGAACACCCAAATAAGATGTATAAATCTGTGTCATCTACATTTTTATTTCCTATATATTTTTATGAATCTAATTAAAGCACAGATAGAGGGCCAGTGGGGTGTCTTAGTTGGGGAGGGCACTTGCAGCCCAATCTGACAGCCTGAGCTCCCTCTCTGGAAGCCACAGAGTGAGAGAGGACTGTCAGCTCCAGCAACTTGTCCTCTGACCTGCACCTGTGTGCCCACCTCCAGACTGAATACGTAAGCAATACATGTAAAAAACATTAAACCCACATACAGAGTCTATAGAAAGATATTTCATCTTGTTAAAAATAAAACCCACAGCTTTACCAAACAAGATCTCCCCCCTCCAAATATTAAAAACGGCTGCTGAGGTAAGATGTTTTAAAAGTTTTAACTGAAATTGCAAGCTAATATGTTATTCTCTTAAATTTGCTCGATTTTTAGAAAACGTCTTTAATAACATGAAGTCAGGAAAGTGTGTGATCCCGAAACTTACCGCAGTTGAATCTTAGCCATCAAAACCTGTCTCAGTTCTGCAGACACTCACAGTCACAGTTATTTCGCATACATTTCTGAGGTACCAGCCCACACCCGCTCACTGAAGGGAAGACATTTAGATGAACAGGACACCAAGGCCTGGACCAGCCCGGGACATTGGGTGCAACAAACATTCTGTGGATATCATTCTAGCCCAGCTGAACCCTCCCAGCATGAATATCGGGTAACCTAGAGTGTGATAGTACATCACCGGTCCCTGGACTTTGCTCCAGTCTTACCCACACCCAATTTTATATGACTCTCCTTTATATTTTTAATATTTAGTTTGAGTGGAGAGAATTTCACACCTACCCACTTCCCAGGCACCCCGCAGTCTCCACTACTTGATTCTCACTGAAAAGACCCTTGCGTCTCTTTTGTGATGATTATGATGATATCTTATGTAACTTTTTATTTTTATATCATTGTATGCCACATGTAAATGATCACAAGGTCAAATATTTAGGAGTAATTGCTACAACACGAGGGAGGAGAATTACAGGGTATGAAGAAGACACTTTGAAGAGTTTTAATAACCATAAGCTGGTTTCTTCGCAGTTACTATTTTGTCTCAGTAAAGTAGATGGGCCAACTTTAATACTACTAGACCCTTTCAACGTTAAATTTCCAAAGCATTCCTCAGATGTGAACCAAGCATCCATTTGGGAAGTTTCACAAGAATTATTCTCTCCTGTCATATTTGTGCACTGATTGACTGAGCCTCAGTTAATTGAGAGAGGAACATGAGAAGTGTACAGATGTCACAGGAGACTTGATTTCCCCAGGATTTAATATTTAAGGTGAGAAATGTTTAAGGTGCAAAGGGAGGCATTGTAGCATGCATGAAGAGTTCCAAGTTCAAAAGCAGTCATGTGTATACACTAAGCAACGCTGAGCATTAAGTGGCTAGTGCTATTTGACATCCCTTAGGTGTATTTTATGAAAATGGCTGTGAAAATTGAGGCAGAAAGTGACTATCCAACTTGTTTAAAATCTTCCAGAGAGTAAGTGATGGGGACTTTTTTGGAATGAAGGCAGAACAGCCATAAGGACCAAGCTCCATAGGATGGTGGAAAAGTGGATGTGGCGGGGGTGGGGGTGAGGAGAAAGCCCAGAAGAGGTATGCAAACCATGGTCAAGATTTTGGAGAGCAGAGTGCAAATTCAAGGAAATTAATGGAGAGGATTGACAGGATGGTATTTGTATCTTCCCAGGTTCCCTCCAGTCACAACATGGTAGATAGATTAGAAGGGGAGGGGACCTCTGAAGTGGAAATAGGGAGACCAGCAAGAAAAAATTAATAAATAAAAGTGCCACCAGCAATTCATGTGACAGCTCATAGAGAGGCAAGGCCCAGACTGGGACATTGGGCTGACGTGTGTGGCAGATACGGCAAAGTTTGTGCTGAGCTAACATTTCTAACTGAGATACAACATGTTGGGAATTCCTTCAATGGGTTTGCAAAGAACAGCTTCCTTTTAGGATATTCTTTTCATCATACAGGACACTCCAGCCATATTTCTAGAGAACCGAAAGAGCATTGCAGACACACAATCCGACACATACAGCATAGATTTGGTGGGAGAGTCTACCTTTTGTCTAAAACTTGGCTTTGGGAATTAAGCCATACTAACAACACATTTGGGTATTTCAGAAATTCAAATTGCCAAGGTGCTATAATTGTGGAAGGACATCAGAGAACAGAGAAGGCTCAGAACTTTTAAACCAGATTCTTCTAAGATGTGGGTTGGTACTTGCTTGAGCTGGAGAAAAATCCAGAAAGCCTGTTGTGCTTCCTCTACTGGGACCCACTGTCAGCCTATCCTGAACGTCTCAGGCATTCAGCTTCCCCAAGGGAACACAGTCTAGAGAAACTGGGAGGCTTGCTGGAAAGTAAGCTCTGAAAGCTCAAAGTTCACTTCAGCTGGGCACCTACGCCAGTGTGGGTCCCTGAGGTATATGCTTCTCCTGACCTGTGCTAGTGTAGATAACCGGGACATACACTTTTCTCTCTTTACTTTAGAAGGGGCTGTGATAGAGAAAGCAAGTTGCTTTTCACTCTTTATTTCATAATACCTGGATTAAAGCATAGGTCGACCTGTCTTCAGGTGATAATTCAATTATAAAAGTCAATTTAAAATTGTTTTTGGTTTGGTACTGTTAATAGTTTTAAACTGTTTCCATTTATAGTTGATGTTTTTGTTTCAGCAAACTACAATGGCCATATATAATTTTGCCTGAGTGTGAATATTAAAATGTGTAAAACAAAAACATCCTTCTGTCTTGCAAAACAGGCTTCTACTAGGCAAGTTTCCCAGGAATTGTTTCCTCCTGTCATGTGTAGCCACTGATTTATGAAGCCAAAGACAGTCAGCCCTGTTTGTTTGAGCTGGCAAAATTGTAGTTGAAAAAATAAAGCAAACAAACAAACAAAAAACAAAAAAATTCCTTGATTATCAAGTCCTCTCTATGCAGATCCCCCGGCTTTAGGAAACCCCTGGAAAAAAATTATTATAGCCAAGTGAACTAAACATTCATGTTAATATTTTTTGAGGTTTTAACCAGATATGAATACCGATTTAATTCTGATTCCTAGAGGCATGAATTCTGGAGATCATTTATCATAAAATTGATTTATTTGTCTCATGTTTATAAAATACAATTATATAATCACAGGAAAAGAAACAAAAAATAGGCTCTTCTCTGTTGAGAACATTTATTGAAAGTCAACAGCTGACCAAGGAAGCAAGAGACTTTAAAACAGAAGCAAGACTTCCTTATGCTGCACTTTATTAAAATATTGGATTATACCAGTGCATGCCTTTAACCCCAGCACTCTCGAGGCAGAGGCAGGTGGATCTCTGTGAGTTCAAGGCCAACCTGGTCTACAGAGTGAGTTCCAGGACAACCAGGGCTACATAGAGAAACCCTGTCTCAGAAAATACAAAAAACCAAACCAAACCAAAATAAAACAAACAAAACAACCTCCCCCCCCCAAAAAAAAAAAGATTACAATAAATACTTTCAGGCAGACTACTATCCTGTACAATTAACATACACTAATAAAAATATCTAAAAAGAACCTTCATCCATCCAGAAAATAAAAAATAAGAACTGGTTCTTTTCCTACACTAAGGCTCGAGTCCGTCTATTCGGAGTTGCTCTTATTTGGTAGACAATGTGCTCTCAGTTCTGCTGTGAATTGAGTGACATCTTTTGAGAGTGTTTCTCTTTGCTTAATCCAAGATTATGAGAAGCTTAGTGAACAAGAAAGTTTTATCATTCAAATGAGCCCTATGGGAGTCATACTGTGGCCTTCACCATGTCTTCAAATGGACCGTTTCTCATCTCTGTCAGTGGGATTTCTTCATATCAGGGCCTTGGGTGCCCATTCCACATTAAGAGGCAGAAGGATGGGAATAGGTATGCCATCTTGGATGATTAAGTCAGTGTCAGTGGAGAAAATTAGAGTGGCCATATTTAACATTGATGGAGCCTGTAAGAAGGTCAGAGCACTAATTACACCTTCAGGAATGATTCCTGACACCCCTGAATTTAGATAACAAGTAACACCCTTTATCACTTCATTTACATGATTTCCAGCCTTCATCATTTTGTTCCTGAATCTTTTCCTTTACTCAACTGAGATTAGGTACGAAAAAACCATGACACTAAAATTAGAAAACAGCAGTGGCCCTGCCTTCTATCATTTTGACTTATGACACTCTTAGACACCGCAGGAGAGTATGTTTTGTGTCTGTTTTCAGTAACACAGCTTCTTCCAGTCTTTAGTATCGTATAGTCCCAGGGAGGACACCACCGTATGTGAAGACTTTGCACACAGATCATGAAGCAAGCCCCTGACTGCTCCGTGATGGGCCAGGCTGACACTGTGGAAGATGGAGAAGAAAAAAGTGTGCGTCTACTGTCTTCCCATGGGCACCAAACAAGCAGCATGGCAAGAATAGAGAATGGGACTCTTTACAACACGTCTGTGTCTCTCTTCTGAGAAGCTGCAAGGCTCACTAAAAGCAGACCTGGAGATGGCCGTGCAAGAGAAAGCGGGGTGCTGGAAAGAGGGGGGGCGTAGCAGGGGTGCTTTATGAAGCAGGGTCTGTAGAGACTAATTGGCTGCCAACTTCAGGGAAGCTCTGTAGCCCACACAGATATACCTGACAGATTAGACAAGACAGTTTGTCACTATCATCCACCATAGCAGAGAGTCTCATTCAGAGGAATAAATTTCCTGGAACTTTGGGCTTTCAGGCTCCAGCAGCCTGAAGGTAGCTCTCAGTTAGCCAGGTAGGAAAGCAAACTGGGATAGGGAAGGGGAAAAGCTGCAAGGAGATGACATTGGCTAAGCCTGAAGCATCCATGACATCCACTGTAGGACCTAAGAAACTATTTATTATTATTATTATTATTACTATTATTATTATTTGGTTTTTTGAGACAGGGTTTCTCTGTGTAGCTTTGCGCCTTTCCTAGATCTCACTCTGTAGCTCAGGCTGGCCTCGAATTCACAGAGATCCGCCTGCCTCTGCCTCCTGAGTGCTGGGATTAAAGAAGTGCACCACCAACGCCCGGCTTTAGGAAACCATTTATACACTAGTCTTCTGAAACATGTGGCCAGGCATTCTCCTGGAGCCAGGAGGATGGCAAGTTCAAGACCTTCCTGGGCTGCAGAGTGAATTCAAAGCCAGCCTGCATAGTTTAGAGGGCCTTAGTCTCAAAATAAAAAGTTAAAAGGTAGCTCATTGTTAAAGGGCATTCTTGGTGTGCAGGAGCCCCGAAAACCAACCCTCCAATTCCACAAAACGGACAGAATACTTGGGCACCCCAGAAATGAGCTTACCTGGTGATTTTCCTTTGTAGCATTGATTCTCATGGTTGGAATTACCAAGTGATTTCTAGAGTAGAGCAGGTGATGCTTAGTGGGTAGGAGAGTAGAATCTCAGGATCATTTGACAGAAAGTGTACCACGCTAGAACCTCCACAGGTCAGAATGCAGAGGCTCTGCATTGTTATGTACAGTGCTACATATGTGCAAGTAATGCAAGGTATTTGTTTCAAAACATTTTTCACTGAACACCTTTCTTCACCCTCATCAGATTTTAACGCAAATTTCCACATTTTGTAGGTATATAGAGACTGAGAACTGTCAGGGCATGGCCCGTCTTCATCTCTGAAGTACATATTGCAAACTTTGGATGTTGTATACTACATACTGACCAGTCACTACTTATAAGGAAAAATGCTCTTGTCTGTTGATTTTGACATTTAAGCTTTTCGTGATTAAGTTAAATGTTTCTTCCTTAAAAATTTTAGTTACACATGGAATATTCCAATTAAATGGACTGAAAATGGCAATTCAAGGGTCACAGTCTACAACAGGTCATCAACAGAAGGTAAATTATTTAACACATTCATTTCTTCTTTGAATTGATGCATTTTAGTAAATGAATATAAATACATCGAATCAGCAATTAAGCCAAAAGTTGTAAATTTCATCTAAAGTTATCTCTTTAACAATCTATCAATAATTCTAAAACTTTGTCTACAATGAGATCTTTCCCATCTCCGTGACCTTTCTAGTGATTTATCATGGCACACAGGAACCGAGCGCCTTAGCTTAAGGAATGTTACTGACCTGCCAGTCACTGGAAAAACCAAGCTGTGAGATTCCTGCCTTTCCTAGCTTCCTCCTCCCCCTCCAGTTCATCCCTCTGTTCTTTCTTCTTTTCCTCCTCCCTCCTTCTTCTGCTCTTTATATCAGATAAAACACCGGGTTTCTTAAAATATCACAGGAATGGCCTGCTTTTCGAATGTTCTCTTTCAGTTAGAATAATCAGCTTGCAATGTATTTCTTGTTTTCTTTCCAGTGGCTTTTCTTTTCCTTATTTGAAAACATTTAGGGTTCTTTAAAAAACAAGGTCTTCTCACAAACTTCAAAATTGCTGAAAAAGAAGCCATTAAGTAAGGGAGGTTTTAGCATCCATCCTAGGAGAATCTTGCTTTTTTTTTTTTTTTCTAATTTGAGGAGCTATTTTATTTGTTTATTTTATTTATTTTATTGTGCACTTTGCCCTCCTAGCTAGATTTCAAGTCACTGGAGAGCAAAGACCATCTTAACACATCTTGTATCACAGGAAGTAAGCCATGGAGAATCTTGCTTTTTATGATTTGACCACTGTGGTTGTTTTGTGTTGCAAAACATTTCTTTTTTTTAAGATTTATTTATTTATTATGTATACAGTGTTCTGTCTGCATGTATGCCTGCAGGCCAGAAGAGGGTGCCAGATCTCATTGCAGATGGTTATGAGCCATCATGTGGTTGCTGGGAATTGAACTCAGGACCTCTAGAAGAACAGTCAGTGCTCTTAACCTCTGAGCCATCTCTGCAGCCCGCAAAACATTTCTTATCTAAGACAGCAGACTGGATGTCTTCATTCTGTCCCCTGAGAAGGTGGCCTGAGAACAGCATATTCTGTAGGCTTTCCCTGGGGATTCTTGAAGCTAAAGCAACCTGCAGTCCTTTATCTGCCCCTGGTTACTTGTCCCCAAATTGACCCGTCTAAACTAGGTCACCAGAGCTGGGTTATAGCTCAGCTGGCAGAATGCTTACTCAGCATTCACGAAGCCCTGGGTTCAGTATTCAGCACCAAATATAACCAGACATGGTGATGAGCAGCTGTAATCCCAGCATTCAGGAGCTAGAAGCAAGAGGATCACAAACTCAGGGTTATCCTCAGCTACCCAGAGAGTTCAAGGTTAGCCTGCAGTCGAGGACTGCTTGAATTCCATGAAGCTCTGTCTCAAAAAAAATTTCAAAATAAAATGTATCATCCAGTCTCTTTGGTTAAGTTTATAGCTACGTGATACCATCACCTCAGAAAGAGACCCATACATTAGCGAATTTATGCCAATGAGGACTTAACTTATTCTAAAGGTTTGTTTTATGAAATGATAATAGTGTTTTTCTACTGTCTCATTTCAATTAAAACATAGGCTTTCCAGGGTTCATGCATGTTGTGGCAAAGATCAATGCTCCGTTCCCTTCCAAAATGGACCCATATCATCCTGTATTCATATAGAGATGTCATCTCTTCTTTATCTGTCCGTCTTTGGGCCTTTTAGTCCTACAGAGTACATTAGAATCATTTGTATAGTAGTATTTCTGCCTTCGGTGTCTTTCATCTCTGCTCTTTCTTTTTTTTTTTTTCAGTTTTTTGTTTGTTTGGTTTTGTTTTTGTTTTTTTCGAGACAGAGTTTCTCTGTGTAGTTTTGGTGCCTGTCCTGGAGCTCACTCTGTAGCCCAGGCTGGCCTCGAACTCACAGAGATCCGCCTGCCTCTGCCTCCCGAGTGCTGTGATTAAAGGCGTGCGCCACTACCCCCCCCCCCCCCGGCTTTATTATAAATTCTCTCACATGTTTAGTTCAGTTGTCAACTCTGCCATCTTTGCTATTACGAAGGTAAGACTCATCTCCAGGCTGTTCCTGACAGAAAATATGGTCGTAGGAAACTCCCGGGAGTTGTTTGCACTAATAATTGCTCTGACACTGTGGCCAGTGACACTGGAGCCTTCCAGAAGCTCTAGACCAATGCCTTTTTGTCTCAGTATTCCACATATTCATGCTGTGCTTGAATTCTTAGCTGAATGTCTTGTGGTCTGTGTGCCGACCATTTTCCTACTCACAGGTGGGTTTGCCATCGAAAACTGAGAAGGACAGAAAGAGGAATAAAAGACAGTGGAAATGTCCCTCGGCACTATAAAAGGCACAATAAGAAGGTTAGGGTTTCAATGCCTTTGAGTGAACCATCACCACACATGTTCCCTGTTGGTCGCTGTGGTTAACTGAAGGTCGGAAGATTGTCTCGGCGGCAGCTTGATTCACTGTTTACAAATTTAAAAACATGAATAATTCATCCACTCTAACATAATTTTTCCAGTGTTCCATTTCTTATATGAAATGAGGATTTCATATAAGAGAATGTTCTAGATAGTGAAAGCTCACTAAAGCACTTCAGAAAACAAACGTCAAGAGCTCAGAATAAATATTCTTCTAATATTTGTTATATATTTATTAGGAAGAATTTTTTGAATACTCAATCCTTAGTTCATCAGGTCGTTTTTTTTTTTTCAGGCAAGTTTGTGTTTTGTTTTATTTTTGAGACAGAGTCTCATGTAAGCCAGGCTGGCCTCCCAGTTGTTATGCAGTCAAGGATGGCCTTGAACTCCTGATTCTCCTGCTCCTCCTTGACAGTTCTGGGATTCAACGTGTGAGCCTGTACACCTGCCTATACCATGCTGGGGATGGAATCAAAGATTTTTGTGCCTGCTTGGCAAGCACTGTAGTAACCATGTTAGCCACATTCTAGCTCAAGCAGATATTTTTTAAAAGGTAGTTTTGGGGGCAGTTTGGGAATGATCACCAGGAGAGTGAAGTTCAACCCTTCCTATCTTGCAGGCTGCCATCTAGGGCAGGTCAGCAGACAGACAGATTCTATTGTAACTGTTGCCATGACACGGGTGTGTGTGTGTGTGTGTGTGTGTGTGTGTGTGTGTGTGTGTGTGTAAATGATACCCACAGGACAAGGACTGGTCCAGATTTATAGGTCCAGGAAAGGTTGCTATGGAAAAAATACCTAGGTTAAAACTCAGGGCTCACTAGTGTTTGAGGGTAATAGGACTGATAAAGTACAGAGGGGGTCTGTGCCTCAGACAGGGAGTGCGTGTGAAAGAGAGGAGAAGGAGCTTGCCTGGTCCCTTCCAGCTCGCAGGCATGTCTAACATGGCGCTTGTGCCATCCTGGCGTATCTGTGTCTCTCTTCCTTATAGAATACTCTTGAGGAAATGAATGACTTCCTGGTTGCTGCTGCTGCTCTGTAACTGTTTACTGGATGCATGAGTGAATAGATAAATGGATAGAGGGCTCAGGTATTCAAGGAGCTGTGATAACAAACCTACCTTTATCTGAAACTTCAGAATCACGACTTGTCTCTCCGCCAGAAAAAAAACTAGACCTTTCTTCCCGCTTCAAAGCGCCTGCTCCATTTTTAGGCTACACCCGGAGTTCCTGTTTCCTGTTTGAGGACATCTTCAGCTCAGGGCACAGATGATGACATGTCCTGAGTGTACTGGATAGGCAACCAGCTCATGTTACCTGTCGCACGTCCCTGCTTTGGGTCACTCTGATGATTCATCAGTTAGAAGTGGCCCAAACAATAATAGGACTTCCGGGATCTTTTATTTACACAAGTATTGTACATGATATTTTAAGCAGTGGGGAAAAAAAGATACATGGTTTCTAACAAAAGCAGTAAATCTCAAACAAAATGTTTTCTGGCTATTCTAATCCAGACAGAAAATCACCCTCATTTAAATGGTCTTAACTCCGTTAAAGTGAATTGATTCTTACCAAAAAATATGTCCTTGTCTTTACTGCTTCTGTTTGTGGTCACTGGGATTTTATTAGAAGATAATCGTTCTAAATATTCTTTTCTTATGTAGCTGATGCCGGCAGTGTTGTTAGTCCTGTTATTCTTAGTGCTAGTGGTTGGTATTTAAACAGAAATCAGTTATTGAAGCTCCATTTACTCTCTTCTTTTTCAACCAAATTATAAGCTCCTGGGAGATACAAAGTACTTCCTATGTCCCTTGTTTCCCATCAATTATCAACAACTGCTAGGCACACGGTAAGAATTTGGTAAACCCTTGCTTAGTGGAGGGCCGCGTGCCTATCCTGTTCTCCCTTGATGTTGTGTTCTGTTTTAGTTACATCTCTGCCTTTGATAGCAGTTGATGTTTCTGTTATAACAATGCATCTGTATCTAATAGGACTCCACCTTTGTGCTTTCATTTGCTGCATTCTAACATTCTGATGAAGGTTGTCACAGGACAAAAGTTATCAGTCTTGCTTGAACACTGTTTCTGTAGGCATTACTCCAGGACCGGGGGCCGGCAGAGAGACTAAAACATTATCTCGGGTGTGGAGTTAAAAAGATAACCTAAGACAATACTATAGGAGAGGGCCTAAGACATTACTACAGGAGAGGGCCTAAATCATTACTATAGGAGAGGGCCTAAGTCATTACTATAGGAGAGGGCCTAAGTCATTACTGTAGGAGAGGGTCTAAGTCATCACTACAGGAGAGGGCCTAAGTCATTACTGTAGGAGAGGGTCTAAGTCATCACTACAGGAGAGGGCCTAAGTCATTACTATAGGAGAGGGCCTAAGTCATTACTGTAGGAGAGGGCCTAACACATTATTCCAGGAGTGTGGTTTTGGAGGAGGGTTAAGATATTACTCCAGGGGTTGGAGAGATGGCTCAGAGGTTGAGAGCACTGACTGTTCTTCCAGAGGACCTGCGTTCAATTCCCGCAACCACATGGTGGCTCACAAACAT